ATCATCAGGTTTATGAACAAGACGGTCAGCTAATAATAGTATGGGATCATGTGGAAAATCTATTTCCTCCTGGAATGATTGACGTTATGCATCAGACATTTTGTAAATTATTGGAGAATCTGGCTTTCTCCATTGAGATTTGGCAGAAACCAGTTACACTAGTTTTGTCCGAAGACCAAAATCAAAGACGTTTACTATATAATGATACAAAGTGGAAACGAGAATCACACTTACTGCATGAACTGGTTATAGAACAGGCTGAAAGGGCAGGAGATGCATGGGCTATTCGATCAACACGTGAAAATTTAACATATCAACAGCTACTCTTGCGAGTTTATCCATTAGCACATTGTTTACGTCAGCGTGGTGCTAAACCAAATCAATTGATTGCAATTATAATGGAAAAAGGTTGGGAACAAGTTGTAGCATGTCTGAGTATTTTAGTTTCCGGTGCTGCTTATTTACCATTGGATGTTGATTTACCTATTGAACGCATTACTCTTTTACTTCATGAAAGCGAGGTGGAAATTATTCTTACTCAATCCGAGCATATTGACAAGATTTTAATGAAACAGAATATAATCTGTAATATGATTATAATTAACCTGAACGATACGACTAGTTATCAATTTCCTTGTTGTCTTTTACCATTAGTACAACAACCTACAGATTTAGCCTATGTTATTTATACCTCAGGTTCAACTGGCAAGCCGAAAGGCGTAATGATTAGTCATGAAGCGGTTGTTAATACAATTCTTGATATTAATTCACGCATTGCTGTTTCGTCAAAGGATAGAATATTGTGTCTATCGCATTTAAATTTTGATCTTTCTGTATATGATATTTTTGGAACATTGATTGCCGGTGGAACACTTGTTATACCAGCTCATCCAAAATATAAAGATCCAGAGCACTGGTATGAATTAATATTGAATTATCGAGTAACTTTGTGGAATAGTGTACCGATGATGATGCAAATGTGGATAGAATATCTATCTACTATTTCTATATCGAAACGATTAAAGTTAAAAGACCAATTACGGCATGTGCTATTAAGCGGCGATTGCTTATCACTCAATCTTCCCAAATTGATTACAACAACATTAGGAGAACAAGTTGTGGTGACAAGTTTAGGTGGAGCGACAGAGGCATCGATTTGGTCTATTTCTTATTGTATAACAGAAGTTATGTCTGCATGGAAGAGTATTCCTTATGGCATGCCATTACGTAATCAACGTTATTATATTCTTGATTCACAGCTTAATTCTTGTCCAGAATATGTTCGTGGAGAATTATATATTGGCGGAATAGGATTGGCAAAAGGTTATTGGGCTGATGAGAAAAGTACTGCAGCCAGTTTCATTATACATCCGAAAACAAACGAACGTTTATATCGTACAGGAGATCTTGGACGCTTTTTGCCGGAAGGATATATTGAATTCTTAGGACGGAATGATTTTCAAATAAAATTACACGGTCATCGAATTGAATTAGAGGAAATTGAATATCATTTACAGCAATATTCAGGCATTCGTCAAGCAATTGTTCTTGTCAATTGTGATCCTCGAAAATTAATTGCATATGTTGTACCGGAAAACCATGATATATCGGATGTTAATATAACGGCAAGTGAAAAGACCTTAAAAACGTTTTTAGCTTGTCGATTACCAGAATACATGGTGCCAAATCATATCATACTGTTAGATCAATTGCCATTAAATCAAAATGGAAAAATTGATCGAAATGCATTGCTGCTCCAGAAGAATTT